GTGCTGGTGTATCCCTCCACACCATGCCCCTTTCCACTCTTGGTTTATTTTACTTTGCATAGCCTTCACTGCTTCCTCTATTTTTCGACCATACTCAACCAATTCTGTGAGCATCCTGATTACCAGTGTTTTGAACTTTTCTCTCTGCATTTTGTTCTCTTTGTGAATTCTTTATTTTTTTAATGAGTCTGTCTTTTTTTTTATTTTACTTATTTATTTTTAGAGAGGAGAAGGGAGGAAGAGAGAGGGAGAGAAACATCAATGTGTGGTTGCCTCTCAGACACCCATACTGGGAATCTGGCCCACAACCCAGACATGTGCCCTGACTGGGAATCAAACCAGCCACCCTTTGGTTCTCAGGCCAGTGCTTAACCCACTGTGCCACACCAACCAGGGCTCTTTGTGAATTCTTTCATAGCCTGCATCACTGATGACCCTAACATCTCATATCAATGTTTTCTCTCTCTCCCTTCCTCCCTAAAGACAATTAAAAACATACCTACCTTCGGGTGATGATTTAAAAAAGAAAAAGCAATAAAATAAATAAGATCAGACATTTTTTTAAAAGCTTCGTAAGACTTAGTTTGGGCTTTAATTGTGCATCTAAAGAAAATTAATCTTTCTTCTTTTGTTACTGAAATAAACACATTAGCAGGGGCAGGGAGAAGACTCATATTGGGTAAGGACATGGGGAACAGGCATTCACATGCACTGCTGGCAGCCATACAATGGGATACAAACTTGTTGGGAAACAAATTGGTAACACCTGTAAAAATTAAGAACAGTCATGCCTTTTGACCTAATATTTCTGCTCTCAGACCTTTCCCTCAAGTATGTAAAGATAAATAAACAAGGATGTTTGCAAAAGGGAAAAAATGGACATAACAGAAAACTCCAATGAAAGATTGGCTGCACAAATTTGTGTTAACCCATATTTTTTTATTTTTAGACAGAGGGAAAGAGAGGAAGGAAAGAGGGGGAGAAACATCTATGTGCGGTTGCCTCTTGCACCACACACCAGGGACCTGGCCCACAACCCAGGCATGTGCCCTGACTGGGAATTGAACCAGTGACCCTTTGGTTCCCAGGCTAGCACTCAATCCACTAAGCCACACAGCCAGGGCCAGTGTATCAATTTTTAAAAATGGGGAAATATCCTTTATGCACTCTAAGGGGGAGCAGAGTTTGCCATCCCAAAATATCCCGGAGGTACTGATTATTTGAAGCTGGTTAATTTTTTTCATTCTTTTGTTTTAAATACCAGGAAATGTCCTTTTTAGAGATTTGATGGTCCTTTTTTAAAAAGATTTATTTATTTATTTTTAGGGAGAGGGGAAGGGAGGAAGAAAAAGAGAAAGAAACATCAATGTGTGGTTGCCCCTCACCTGACCCCCAATAAGGACCTGGCCTGCAACCCAAGCATGTGCCCTAACTGGGAATTGAACCAGCGACCCTTTGATTCCTAGGCCAGCACTCAGTCCACTGAGCCACACCAGCCAGGAATCACTCATTCAATATTTTATTGAGCACCTACTCCTAGTCAGATACTGCTCTAAGTAGAGATAAAACAGTAGATTCCTTTCCTCATGGGACTTGAGTCTTAGTAATGTATGAGCAGACAGTGCAAGTCAGGTTGTGATAGAAGTATTCTAAAAGAAAATAAAGCAGAATAAAGTAATAGAGCTCGAGGGAGGTGATCTTTGTGTTCAGTGGTGAAGGAAGACCATGCTGAGGATTTGCTATTTGAGCAGAAATCTGAGTAAAATAAGGAATAAGTCTAACAAATACCTGAGGAATGAGCATTCTATCAGGAGAGGAAAAGTAAAGACAGTAAGTATAAATATCTCTCATTGCTTTTGAGGAGTTTTGCTATAAAAGAGAAATAGAGATCTATGGCATAGCCAGAGGGAGTTATAGAATCAAGAGAGGTTTTTTTTTCTTTCTTTTAAAGATGGGGTATATTGCAGCATATCTGGAAACTGATCAGAACAATCTAGTAGAGAGGGAAATTTTGACGATGCAAGACCAGGAAGAAGAGTTGAAAGGGTAAAGTCTTAAATAGGTGAAAAGGGATGAGATCCAGGGCACCAGTGGAGAGTCTGGCCTTGGGAGCACATATGGATCATTCATGGAAACTGGAAGGCAAGTGGGGGGGGGGGGGTGTTGATCATTGGTAGATTTGGGGCAAGGAGTACACAGATGTTGCTGACTGCTCTTATTTTCTCAGTGAGAAAATTTCTTAGTGAGAGGGAGAATGTGGAAAGAGGTACTAGAGTTTGAAGAGAAAGGAAAAGTTGTGAAATAATCATCTGAAAGAGCTAATAAATGAATCAACCAGGGAAATGCAGTAGAATTGGCAGGCATCACTGAGGGTCCCCTTGGGGTTGTGGTTACAGATTTCAAGTGAGACAAATCAACCTGGCGGCACCTTTTCTCCAGCCAGATTCTGCTACGTGAGAGCGGACACGGAATGGTGAACTTAACCGGCAAGGTGATGAAGATGGAATGTTGGATTTAACCTAGATTGGGATTTTGCCAGACAAGGATAGAGAGAAACAGAATCAGGGGTTGAGGGAGTGGTAATAATGATGAGCCTCAGAACCCAGGTGAGTAACAGGAAATGAGGACGCAAGGGATAATGATGGAAGACCAAAAAACCATAGGGAGTCACGGACACGTTGGAGTGGAGGAACCAGCTAGAAGTCAGGGGAAGCAGAGTTTGCACCCCAAAATATGGTCTTGGGGATGGAAACTGAATACTTTAGACTGATTATTTTTAAAAAAAAACAAACTCAGGGAAAACCTTTGACCTTCCCCCTAAAAGCTTAAAAGAATTTAGATAGAGGACCTGCTTCAGGAAGGGAGCTATCATTACAGATTACTAGAGTTTACATGAATTAGGTGTGATAGAGAGGCCCATTGGCTACAAGTTTTCTCTGCATCCCATGTTAAAGATGGCCCACGAACATTTATTTACCAAACATTTGCTCTGCTGTCTCCATGTGAATTGCCTTCCTGCCCTTTCAAGTCCCAGACCAAACCCACTTACCCTTCTCCTTAGCTCCAGAACCGCACAGAAGCCTCAGCTGCCCAAGGTGTCTGCAGATCCCACATTCTTTGGAACCCCCACGTGTACATGCGTATGAACTTTGGTTATTTCTGCCTGTTCATCTATCTCATGTTAACTTGATTATTACGCTAGCCAGAAGAACATAGAAAGGTAGGACAAAAATTCATTTGTACTCCCCTACAGAGGAAGAGAATCGGAATGATGGAGGTAGAACACAGAGAAAGGGAGTCTTAAAACTAATATTTGGGAGGTGGTGTGCTTATTTTGGTAATGACAAAATCTGAAGCATAAACAGAGGAGTGGAATGCTGAGATGCAAGAAGACAGAATCTTTGGAAGTGAGGAGCTCAAGAAATGGAAAAGCCCAGGAGTTGGATGAGTAGTCCGTGTGGATACTGAGGTGAGAAGTACCAGTGGTGAGAAGAAAAACAGTAAGCTAGCATCCAAAGAGCTATAAGGAAGGCAGGAGGTATATGAGCTTCCAAGGAACTGGGCATCTCAGGAAGAAGAAAAGCACTAAGATCTGGAAGCAGCAATGAAAAACAAAGAGCTCACTCCTGCACTTCCAGGCCCAGAGGAAGTTGTATTTGGAAGAAAAAAACAGTCGTTACATTATTTGACAAAGCTACAGGAAATGCTGTACTTTCGGGAAAACTTTCAGGAAAGAGACCAAAGTTTTCTGTGAGAAGAGAAAGGGAAAAAGTCTAGGAAGTCTAAGGGTGGAAGGGATTCTGCAAATGACAGACTGTGAGTTTCAGAGACTTGTTTGGGTTTTTTTTTCTTTTTTCTTTTTTTAAGATTTTATTTATTTTAGAGAGAGGGGAAGGGAGGGAGAAAAAGAGGGTGAGAAAATCAATGTGAAAAAGAAACATTCATCGGTTGACTCGCATAAGCACCCTGACCAGGGACGGAACCTGCAACCCAGGGTATGTGACCGGAAAGGGGACCAACAACCTCTCACTTTGCGAGATGATGCACAACCAACTGAGCCATTCTAGTCAGGGCTGTTTGTTTTTCTTTTAAATCTACCTACAGACACTTTTATGTGCCTGTGAATTTTCAGAAAAAAAGCAAAAGAAACTGTTAGCAGCCTTGGATGATGTACCAACCCAGAGTGGATGAAATTTAAATCCCTACTCCGCCCAGTGAGGACAGAAGGAATGACCTTGTTGGGCACATTATCGAGGGTATTTCCAGAGAGGGCGGGAGGTCACCATAGGTCGCTGATATTCTATGACTACATGAACTACCGTAGGCTGTGGGGCTTGGGTGTGTGTTTGACAAACTTCTTCCCACAGCTGGACCTCAGTTTCCATTAATTGTTAAGTGAGGAAAATAGGCCATGTTTTCTCTTACCCACCCAGCTCTGGCGGTTTATGAACCTCCTGGAAGCAGCTCTGGGTCCAGTCTTATGTTCATGAAATGAGACCAGAGAGGCACCGAGCAGGCACAGGAACCTAACAGCATCTTCTTTTTGTTGTTGTTGTTTTAAGATTTTATTTGTTCATTCATTTTTAGAGACAGGGAAAGAGAAGGAGAAAGAGAGGGAGAGAAATATCAATGTGTGGTTGCCTCATGCATGCCCCTTACTGGGAACCTGGCCCGCAACCCAGGCATGTGTCCTGACTGGGAATCGAACTGGCAACCCTTTGGTTCGTAGCCAGCGCTCAATCTACTAAGCTACACCAGCCAGGCTAACAGTATCTTCTGATGACAGCACAAAGCCCAGTAATACACTTCCCCCCAGACAGTGTTACCTAGTTACACACACCAGGCAAGAACACCCAGAACCACTTATACAAGCAGTCACCTACACCCTTCACCACAACACACCTGTAGTCCCATTATCATGCCTAGCAATATCACATCACACGCTCAGTGTCCCACAGCCACTGTCTCCCAAAACCTCAGGCCCAGAGACCCACACCTACCCTGAGCAGGTGAGGCAACTGCTGAGTGGCCAGTTCCTTAAACTCATTGATGCTGAGGCTGCCCTTCCGGCCCTCTCGCCCTGCAAAGGTGAAGAAGGTGGTGACCACTGTCTCGATGGCCGCCTCCAGCTCAGTCAGTGGCTCTGCTGCCATTAGGAAGGACCCTGGGACAGCAGCTGATGGCCTCACAGGGCTGACCTGCCATCAAAGAGTAAGGAGAGAAAGGGAGACTCAGGATAGACAGAGTGCCCCGTGCCCCTGCCCTGAGTCACCTCTCACGCCTCTGCCTGGAGGGAGCATTATGTGGAAGGAAGGAGGGGACAGGGATGGAGCTTGGGGCAGAGGAGATCCTCAGTGTAGGCGGGAGAAGTGGTATTCACTTCCAGACCCCTTCCTCTCTAGATCTCAAACTTCTGAAGTGCCTGTGTTCTAAGGACCCCTTTGTGGTGGTCCCTCAGCCTGAAGACCCTCCTCTCAGAGAGAGGCTTTTGGTCTGAGCGTGGTCTTTGGAGCCCTCTCAGTCTCCTGGCCCCTCTGTGGAGTTCAGTCCCAAGGGTCCTTTCTTGGAATCTCACCCGGTCTCAGCGAGTCAGAAGGTTGTTTGCCTCCAAAGCTCGTTTGTTTGTTAGGGAACCTGGGTCTTCAACCACAGGCACGGCGCCTACTCCTCCCAGCGGAGCTGCAGGAATCCGGCAAATGCCCAGCTGTGGTCAGGGCTGGCTCCTTCAGGCCAGACCCGCCCCCCGGTGGCCCCTCCCTGCTTCCACACAGGGACATCTGGGCAGAGCACAGGACCCACTGGACCTCCCGCCCATTTCCGGGTAACAGCGGTCCAGGATGGGTCTCTCCGACGGCCGCCTCCCAGAAAGGTCTCCGTCCAGGCACACACAGCCCCAGGGCAGGAGGGGGGCTTGATGTAGGGGATGTGCCCACTAATCCTCCCTTTTCAGGCACCCCCCCTACTCTTTCCCAAGGGGCTGTGGCCTTTCCCCAAGCCACTTCCCAATCTGAGCGGGCTCCTGGGGAGGGACCTGGGATCCCCAAAAGGAAAAAGGCTCCCCATGCCCTGACCTGCTTGGCTCAGCTGGTTGAGCGTTGTCCCACAAAGAGTCACCAGTTCGATTCCTGATCAGAGCACATGCCTGGGCTGTCCCGGGTTTGGGGCACAAGAGGCAGCTGACCAATGTTTCTCCCTCCCTTCCCTTCTCTCTAAAAATAAATAAAATCTTTTTTAAGAAAAGAAAAAGGCTCCCCAGGCTCCCTTCAGAGTAAGGGGGACTACTCACCGGGACAAGTCACAGAGATGGGTGGAAGCGCGCGGAGCTGAGGTTTACAAGCCTGTCAGGCAGAGAGGCAACCACTCCCAAGCCCAGAGGTGTCAAGTTTCCTAGTTGATTCTGAAGACGGGAGACGCCCAAATAGGGGCGGGGGTAGGGGGGAGGCTGCAGATTGCCAGCGGAAAGAACCAACAGAGGGAGCACTGAGAGGCCCAATCTAAGAAACACGCGTCTCAGAATGAGATCCCACAAAAGACCCTGCAGCCCAAGATCATCCCCTCAGAGGATTCCAGACAGAGACCCCACAAATAGGGGAATCAGAATGAGACCCCACAGAGGAGACCCCAGATTGAAATCCCTCTTGGGGTCTCATACTGAAACTTCTCAGGGAGACTTCCAAAACCAAATTATTCACTGAGGGGTCCCCTCACGGAGACCCTCTCAGTGGGCTCCTCCCCTTCCCTGCCTAGCTGGTGACAGCTGGGTACTATGGGGTGTGAGGGGCTCTCGGCGTCCTTCCCAGGACCTTTCCCTGCCGACACCCCCCTCCCTTCCTCCTGGGCCCTGCCTGCTGGGGGCCAGCAGCGGGGGAGACGCAACCAAGACTGGAGAAGACACAGGGCAGCTTGTTCCAGCACAGAGGGCGCCTCTGTCCACTCCTGGCCCCTTGCCCCACTGGGTGTCTGTAAAGGGGTGGAGCTGGTGGAGAGGTGGGGTCAGTGGGGGAAGGAGGACTGAAGACAGGTCTCCCGACACAGCTCCAGTAGCCACATTTCAGCCTTGTCTGTCTGTCCAGAACCTGCTCCCACCTCAGGCCCAGGCTGACAGTGAGTATCCTGCCCCAGCCCTGGCCAGCTTAGGGGAAAGGGGACTTCAGCGGGGGTCCAGGACTTTGGGGACAATGGCATTGCGGTGCACTGAGGTGAGGGTCTGGGAAGAGTTTGGATGATGGCAGTTCGGGACTTGTGGGAGACAGGAATTGGAGGCAAATGAAGGTCAGAGGGCTACCTGGGAATGAGGTGAGCAAGGAAGCCTGAGGGGAACCCAGCCACGGAGCTTCCAAAAGACCAGGCCCTCCTAGCAGGGAGCCCTCGAGTGCTCTCCCAAGGCTTCCTCCACCTCCCAGGTCCTGGGGATGGGACCCAACCCCTGGCTCACTTCCAGTGAGGTAAGATCATGCAGATGGAACAGCTGTTTCTGCCCACCCCCTGCAGTCTCAGCCTCTGCCACCCCCACCCCCACCCAGCTTTGCCAAGATCTCAGGGCCCAGGGAAGACTGGGGGTGGCAGAGCACGGACCATGAATGAGATTTCAGGAACGGGGGCAGTAGGGTACTACCTATACCCATTCCCAAGTCTCACTTCATACAACCTCCCCTTTCTCCTCCTCCTTTCTTTGCCCAGACCTCTAGATTCCCCTTCCCCCCAATCCTTTTTTGTTTTGCCCTCTTCCTCCTCCCTGCCAAGATCCTCTCAGAACTGCTCCTACATAAAACACCTGGCTGCTCAAGGGCTCCAGGCAACCTCCAGGAGCCCCTCCTGGATGGGGCTAGTAACTGAGCCACCGGCACCCCTCCCTCACATGCTCCTTATCCCCTCCATCAGCCGGGCTTGGATTCCATCTCCCCCATGTCTCTGTGACAACCACTTCTCATGTCCGGAGTTCAGGTGACACTCACAAGGGCCCCATTGAAGAGCTGGGATGTCATTTGATCAGGGCCCATTGTCCAGCCCCTCAGGCCTGGGACAGGATGGGGACACCTGATCTGAGACACCTGAGCTGCCCCCTGAGGCTGTGGAGGGGTTGACTGTACCAGGACCAAGGGAAAGAGCCCCCTGGCTTGGCAGTTTCCCCTCCTCAACAGACCCCTCCATGTTTCTCCTCCTGTTTCGCAGACCCTTGAATTAAAGAGTTCCTCATCTCCCCTAATGCATTCCAACCCCTTCTCCCTGCTGCCCCTGTCCCCACATCTACCAGGCCGGGCCCTTGGGATAGGAGGGCCAGCAGCAGGGGACACAAGTCTCCTCTCCTCTTCCCTGGAAGCTCTGGCTCCAGGGCAAAGGCTCAGACATTCCTCTTGCCCTTCCCACCACCACCCAACAGAAGGGCTGATTCTGCAGAGGAGTAAAAGGAACCAAAGTAGAGGTAACAGAGGCACACCCCGGGGAGCCAGTGTGACATGTTCAGGACAGAACAGAGTTGAAGGACCAATAGAGGTCCCCAGTCTGTTGACAGGAAGCTCACAGGCAATGAGACTCTCTCCCCCATGAACCCTGGGCACCTTCTCCACCAGGTGTCCAGGGGTACCAGGCTGACTCCTTGCTAGGGGTGGGCAGCAGAGTCTATAGAGAGGAGCCCAGCCCACCACACCCAACGGCAGAGCTTGGCTATGCTTGGCAAGCAATGTCCAGGGTAAAAATAGAGCCGGAAGAAGCCTGGCTGGGTCCTGTGACCACCCCTGCCTCCCTGTCTGCCTCCCACGCCCTCCTCAGCGTCTGCTCAGGCAGCCAGGAGACGCTGCAAAGCCCATTGCAGGCCTCCAGAGCCAGCCCTGCTCCAGTTGTCCTACCTCCATACTCTTAGCCGTGACTCCCTCTGGCTGGAGTATGGACTGAGGGGCACGAAGAACAGCTGTGGACTCAGATATATTTGGGTTCTCCTATGTCATAAAATCCCAGCGAGAGGTAAATTGTGATGGCAATGGGACTCCAATCTCATGGCTATTTGGGCTGTGGGACCAGGGCCAGGTCTGAGGACTCCCCTCACCCTGACCCCAGATACCCTGATCACAGTTCCCAGCTCACTTCCCTGGTGGGGGGTGGGTAGGTGAGCTGCGCAATGGGTTCTGAGCTGGAGACGGCGATGGAAACTCTCATCAATGTGTTCCATGCCCACTCGGGCAAGGAGGGGGACAAGTACAAGCTGAGCAAGAAGGAGCTGAAAGAGCTGCTGCAGACCGAGCTCTCCGGCTTCTTGGACGTGAGCACAGGGCCAGGGCGGGGGTACAGGGTGGACTGGGTGAGGGGTGGGGGAACAGAGTGGGCATCTCCCTGCCATCTCCCCACCCCCTCCCAGCACAGCTCATCCATCTCCTTACTCTCTTGGTTCAAGTCAAAACACCCTGAGATATTGATCACCTATTAAGTGCCAGGCCCTCTGTAAATACAGCAATAACAAGGCGCACCGTCTACAAGGTAAAGACTGACATTCGAACGTAAAGCCTGAACACCAGAAAGCACACAGAGCCTTAACAGAAGTGGCAGAAAGGATTATGGGAGAATATTAACCTGGCTGAAGTGGGACACCTTCTCCAAAGATGTGGTGCTTGAGCGATAGATTTTCACGGAAGATTATTAGGATAAATGTAGGCATTTCAGAAGGTATCTGCATGAATAAAAGCACGGCAGAAATATGCAGCATGCTCAGTAGTTTTGACTGGAGTGAAGGATGTAGAAAAGTAGGCTAAAGGAGTAGAAAGGCACCAGCTTTGAGGTTTTATTAAACCTGGGTTCAAATTCTGGCACTGCTACTTTCTAGCTGTGTGGCTTTGGACACATTTAACCACCAACTGTCCATTTGTTTCTTTCTTAGAATGAGAATAATGAAATCTATTTCATACTGTTTGTGTTGCAATCAAATTAGACAATACTTTGTAAACTCCTGATAAAGTGCTTATCCCATTGTAGGCACTCAACATATAATAACTAGTGTTATTACTCTGCCTTGTTGAGGAGCTTATTCTGTAGGCAACAGGAGGTCACAAGTGTTAGTTCTGAGGAGGGGAGCAGAACAGTCCCATTAGATGTAGTTCTCCTTGCTTATCTATGCCTCCCTCTCCCCAACCAACCATCCCCTTTGCCTCTGACTTAGTTCTATTCATCTCTTTACAACTACCTCTCCATCTCCTCACTTCACAGGCCCAGAAGGATGCGGATGCTGTGGACAAGGTGATGAAGGAGCTAGACGAGAATGGAGATGGGGAGGTGGACTTCCAGGAGTATGTGGTGCTGGTGGCCGCCCTCACAGTGGCCTGCAACAACTTCTTCTGGGAGAACAGTTGAGCAGACAGTCCCAGTGGGCAGCGCCCTTCCCCTCTGTACTGCCATACCTGCCTCTACACCCTGCTTTCCTTTCACCTCACTTTTCCCTCCCCACAATCCCACCTTTGCCCACCCTCCAACAAGGGCGCAAGAGTAGTGGGCCAGTCCTGCAACTCATGTTTCATTAAAGGCTCCTCTCTCGCCAGCTGCTGTGTCTCCTTTGGACCCTGGAAGTGGGTGGGGAAGTGAAGGTGGCTCACTCCCAACTTGCCTAATTTGGGGCAGGATCTTATTTGACAAGAAGTCAAGGGACCATTACATCTTCCTACCTGAGGAATGCTCAAGGCCAAGGAAGGTAGGGGTTCAAAGTTCCAGCTGGAAGTGGATGAGACCTTAGTTTCTCAGCTATAAAGCCAAAAAAAGAATTTCCCTTCAACCTTCAAAGAATATTTAAAGGATCTTCCATGTGCTAGACATAGTGTAGGAACATGGGATACAGCAGTGAACAAAACAGACATGACCCTTACCCTCACACACGTAAACTCCACTAAGGGCACCAGACCACTAAACCTATACACGTAAGTGCTAAGAAGGAAAACAGAAGGATTCAGACCAGCATATATAGGGGTGGGAGTCGGGGGGGCGGGGTGTTGTGGGAAGGTTGAAGATGTGTTCATTCACTCATTCATCAAACATTTGAGCATTTTGTGTACCCAGGCTTTAGAAAAATCCCATATATGTCTGTATCAAAACCGACATGGATGGCAGATAGGGATCCCACACAAATAAAAATTTAACAATATTTAAGCCAAGTTGAGGAAGGGAGAAAGTGAATAAGAAAATACCGACTGGGCTCCTGTAACTGGAGCAGAGAATCCAGTAGATGTGGGCTGTTAGCACTGGCCCCCACAGGCCTTGCCTGGGGCGATCACAGCATTCCACAACTGTGAATGTGAATGAGAGCAAATAAGAATAAAGAGAGCCAATGCAAACTACCCAATTCCAGTGGTCCCTTACAGAAACGATGCCAGTCCCATGTAAAGAACTTCAGTCAGCCCTGGCTGGTGTAGCTCAGTGGATTGAGCGCAGGCTGCAAACCAAGGAGTTGCCAGTTCGATCCTTGGTCAGGACACGTGCTTGGGTTGCTGGCCAGGTCCTAGTACAGGGTGCCCAAGAAGCAACCACACATTGATCTTTCTCCTTTTCTTTCTCCCTCTCTGCCCCTCTCTTTAAAAACGAATAAATAGAATCTTTTTAAAAAATAAAAATAAAACCATTTTAGACAATGTGACTTAGCTGGGACCTGGCCAGGAACGTGAAGTCCCTCCGAGATCCAACCGCGAGGCTTTAGCCACGCCCCCTCATGACCCGGGAGCACTCAGACCGGTACTTTGCCAAACGCCCGCCTTCGCCCTAGGACTCCGCTATTCTTGCGCAGGCGTAACACAAATCTTCCCACCTCCTCCCCTCGTCGTGCGCGAGTCTGACGTGTGACGTATTGCGCCGACGCCATTTTAGCCGGTCCCACACCGCACTGGGCGTGGCGGCCATTTTGTTTGGACACCGAGCGGTAGTTGGCGGCAGTGGCTGTGGTGACACAGACGAAAGACAGAAAAGGGCAGGCCAGGCGAGCAGGTGGACCGGTTGGCCAGACAGCCGGCCAAAAACAACGAACTAACCTAGCAGGCCACCGTTTACACATCTAGCCAACCGCGAAACAAGTTAACCCGAGCCCCTCCACCATCAACTCAGGTTCGGCCGGCTTCCGGCCCGCCTTCCGCAGCAGTCGTGGCAGCCCCGGGAGGAGCACTGGCGTCCTTTTCCTTCGGTAAGTTTCTACAGTGAGAACTAAAGTCTTGGAGAGAAGGGGCCGGCGGACCGGCCGGTGGTGGGCTGTGGAAGCAGATACGGTGCTGGAGTGTGGAGGCCCCGGGGAGGGGGCGGAGCCCCGGGGAGAGACAGGGGCGGGCCTGAATTGGAAACTGGTGGCGGGATTGCTCGAAAAGGTTGGGATTTGAAATGGATAGAAAGGAAAATAGGCAGATGGAGCAAAGTTGGTGGTCTTGCCAGGTTTTGAGATGGTAGGGAGATGAAATGAGAATTATAGGACTTTGGGGAACGTTAGAAAGTAATGGCAACTTTAGGGTTAAATCTCGTAGAGCGGTGTGGGGTAAAACTCCCAACTAAGTGCCCCATTAGGACACTTTGTCTGCTCCCACCCCCCAGGTCCCCGGTCCCTTGCTCAGGCCCCTACCTGATTTTGGAGTCGAATGTCAGTTTTGAAACTGAGTTTGCCTGTGTCGTCTCTAGATGAATGGTTCTTGATTTCGGCTGCATGGACCCACCCTGCAACTCTGACTAGGGGTCTGCCTTTTCGCTTTGTGGGAAGACGCTCAACCAGCTGAGCCACACTGATCAGGGCCGCTTCTGCACCTTTTTGGATTTTATTTATTAGAGGAAGGGAGGGAGAAAGAGAGGGAGAGAAACATCGATGTGTGGTTGCCTCTCGAGAACACCCTGTTGGGGACCTGGCCCGCAACCCAGGCGTGTTCTCTGACTAGGAATCAAACCTGCGACCCTTTGGTTCTCCGGTGGGCACTCAGTCCACTGAGCCACACCAGCCAGGGCTGCTTCTGCACTTTTTAAAGAGCTGCTTGCAGCCAAGGTTTTTTCAGAAAGGACTCTGCTAGATGAAAAACCAAACTCCTAACACTTCCTTTAGCTAGGCTTAAGTCTGCCATTTTGGAGGCTTTGGAAGATTACTTTCTGTCCTGTGCCGTGGCCTTGAAGTGTATTTGACAGAACTATCTTATAAACATAAACACCTGAAATGAGTTTAGTGTGTCGTTAAGTAGTCTTTGATACAAGCCTCTCATTCATTATTGTTTTGGGCCTTTGGCCCTTGTAGAAATAAGGTCGTTGTTACTTTGATTTGCTCATTCTGCCTATTGTCCTTTGTAGATCCTCGGGATTTGAAGATGGCTGCACAGTCAGCGCCGAAAGTTGTGCTAAAAAGCACCACCAAGATGTCTCTAAATGAGCGGTGAGGCAGCCAACAGCAACTTCAGCTCATTGATAAGAAAACATACTTAAATTGGCCCTGGGGTCCAATACACAAAAACCAGTTTTAAAGTAAATACCAACAGAAGGCTACAGACCTCTGTTCATAGTTGCATCTTATTTATGTGGTACACAGAGCAAATTGGGCGGTTGTTTCAAAACCCCTTATCAGTAGATTTTTATGTTAAGCTGTCTGAAATATTAATCTGGTGGGATGTATTTTAAAAAGACTCCTCATACCCTCCCTTTTCTTCACATTTTTTAAACATTGATACAGGGATGGTGCAGCTTGGTAGCACAGTACCCTGGCTGCAGTAGGCTTGTTGCCCAGTCCAAGGCCAGCAGTGTTGTGTCTGGCCTGTAAGAGGCAGGTAGCAAGCTTTAAATATGTCCAAAGGCCCTTGAATGCCATTCTTGGGCCTTGTAAGAGGCACTTGCTTTTGCTCCATTTCACTTTCTTTCCATTCTGCTTTTAGTTTGTTTTTGTTTTGGATTCTCTTACAGTTAAGTGTTCTTCTCTTCCATTCTGTTAAGCTTATTTTTTTGTGGAGAAACACATCAATTTGTTGTTCCACTTATCTCTGCATTTCATTAGTTGAATCCTGTTATATGCCCTGACCTGACTGAGGATTTAACCTGCAACCTTGGCATATCGGGGTGATGCTCCAACTAAAAGAGTGTCTGCAGCAGCTTTAAACAGTTGAACTAATCTAACTTTTTCAGAAGTAATCAGTTGACGTCAGAAAAAGTAATCATTTGAGACTAAGAAAAGCGAAGGTATTCAAAGGCAGTTTGTGTTAATGAGAGTTCATTGACTGCCTTTGACCAGTGATTTTAGTAAGTTGACATTCGACCATTGTACATTTTCACTTTTTCTGAAACATATTTGCTCCTTTTCTCTTAGGTAGGATACACTAATTGTTCATACTCACATAACTAAGCAAACATATATTAAAAAAATGCACTTCTGTCTTACATGGGTGCATTATTTTCATAAGTTTTGGGGGTGCTCTAGTCCTTCCTTATATTTGCCCTTAAAATACACCCTCAGTTCTCCAGGGTTTTGGCTTTCTCCGTTTGTCTTTGAAACTACATCTCCTGTCTCGTGTTGTCACCATATCTGCTTATTGCGTGTATTTCATACCTTCCGCCTCTCTAAAAGCTGTTACTTGAGCCCTTGTTATCACTTTTGATTGAATGTGCTGCACTTAGCTGCATTTCTAAGTTTCTGATTCTTGCAAGTTTGTGGAAGCAGAGGAGTCTTTCACCCACATCAACCTTGATCTAAGTGTACCACTTTACTTAAAAGTTCGTGGGATCTGGAGTTCCTGGTCTAGCAAGCCATGAAAATGCCAATAAATGTTTTATAATAAAGCTTTTATTTAAACATCCATTTTGTTCGACCTTGAAGCTTTACTAATATGCTGAAGAACAAACAGCCGATGCCAGTGAATATTCGGGCTTCGATGCAGCAACAACAGCAGCTAGCCAGTGCCAGAAACAGAAGACTGGCCCAGCAGATGGAGAATAGACCCTCTGTCCAGGCAGCATTAAAAATTAAGCAGGTGAGAGAACAGGTCTAAACATTCCAGAAGCAGCTGGTGGTCTCTGTCAGGCAGTCCACTAAGACTGTCAGGAGTGATTCAGGGCAAAAACTGAAACTTCTCTGGAAGAAAGAGAAGTTTCAGAGAATTCCCATTTTGGCAGGTACCAATAAGTAACTTTTTGTTGTCTTTCTCTTTTAGGGAGTTTGCCATCAGTGTGGCCTGTTTCTTTGTTAGCAGTGAATGTTAATGTGTTATTTTCTGATCATTTGCCCTTAAAGTAAATTCACTGGCTTTTTCCACAAAGAAATTCTAGTTGCTGTTTTAGAATAACCGTTAAAAGAAAATCCTTTATTCCTTGTTCAATGATTTATGAATTAGGGAGATGATACTATTATTTCTCCCCTAGTCTAGGGCATCTGAATGGCCTTAGTCAATGGCTTTTAGTGCTAAAATGTAGAAAATGTAGGGTGACCCTCATTTCCACAGCAGCTAAAGTTTTCTCAGTAGAGCAAGAGCACTGAGTAATTAAAAGTTAATGGGTTCTCTTTCAAATTTTCAGTAAGAGATAATCCTATTCAGACCTGAAATAAAACCTGCT